TTGGAGGGAATTCAGGTTTATGACCCTGCCTCCTACAGCATGCTCTGTTTAGCCATTCAACTTCTGGGAAGGATGGGGGGGATAGATACCGCCCTCCCTGATATTGCTATCTGCATTGTTTTAAAAAACTGATTGGAGAAACCGCATTACTACAAAAACATTGTAAATTTAAATTGGCCGATTTTGGACTCTACAGAAGGAGGAAATAATTTCCTCCAACTACTGCATGCTATACTGGTTGAGTATATAATAAACTCATTACCTTCATGGCCTATTGCCCTTTGCAAACACTCATGTGTGCAGTGGTGCCTGCATTCAGCTTCCTTTATATCAAAAGGACAAAAGAGGTAGGGGACTGTTATCATGCAAATGCCACACTTCTGTACTTGCGCCCTGATGTCCAACTGATCAGACTTTATTTGGAATATTGTGTCCAGTTTTGATCACCACAATGCAAAAAGGATGGTGAAGAGCTGGAAAGAATACAGAGAACAGCAACAAAGATGGTGAGGGTATGAGGGCTAAATTCTATGAAGAACAGTTGAAAGAACAGAGAAAGGGGAAGGAAAGAGAAGAAGAGGATGACCAGCAGCTAGGTGGATGGACTCAGTTACAATAGTGATGGGTGCACTGTCGGATGACCTGAAAGACCAGGTTAGGGAATAGATTGTCACGGAATAAATCTATCTATGTGGTTGCTAAGAGTTGACAGTGACTTGATGGCACATGATCAAAATAAACATTTTAGCTAAACAGCTAAAACAAGAGAAAGAGCTAAGAGGAGACGTAATAGCAACCTTCTAATACTGGAAGGGCTGTCACAGGAAGGAGAGCACATTTTTATTTTTCATAGTACCCAAGGGTATGACAAAAACCTGGGTACAAAAAAAATGGGTGGAATGGGACAAATGGGACAAAAATGGGTGGAAGCTTTACAGAAACAAATTTAAACTCAGAATACTGTAAAGAGGAATCTCATAAGTGTGAAAGCTATTAAGCAGTGCCTTCTGGAATTGTGGGTGTTCCATCATGGGAAGTTTTCAAGCAAAGGCTGAACAGAAGTCCAAGAAGACTTCCAGCCCTACCATTCTGTGATTCTACATCAGCATGGTGATGTCCTCCTGCGTTTTCCATCGTTGTCCTCCCCCCGACCCAGATGCCCATGTATTCAGTGGGAATAGCTTTCTTCAGGACACTGAAATAGTTCATTCCTTTTTTCTTTTTGATACTTTTTCCTTTAGCTTCCAGAGTAGAATAAAAGACAAAAACAGATCTGGCTCTAATACCTTCCTTCTTTCCCCCCTGAATAAGAGCATCCTAGGGTTTGTTTAGTCATTTCTCCAAGTATATTGTCCAGAACCTTTGAGCAGGTGGCAGCATCTGGCCAGACTTCTCTGGGCCCACCAGCTCAGCAGGGTTGGGTAAGGTTAGTCCTCGGATGGGGAGACCCTGAGAATTCCAGAGTGATAGATTAAACTGGAAAAATCATCCTGGAAGGAAACAGCAAACTATTTCCCTATTGTGCCAAAGAAACAACATGATGGCAAGTCCATGAAACCCTTAGAAATTGAGCTCAAGAAGAAACCCAATCTAGCAAAGGGTATCAAAAGATAAAAAAGAAATAGAAACTCTAGGTCTTTTTTGCCTCTGCTAAATTATTTGTTACGTGCACTCACATTGCATACAGTCTGTTTAAGAATATGTTCTGTCTAGTTATAAATAAGCGAAAGCCAGAGACTTGTGATTTGGGGTTGTGCAAAATTCCTCAAATCACATTTTTAATCAGATCTGGAAGAATGTCAGGCATGAGAGACAAAAAGTGAGGTAGTTAAAATTGGGATGGAGAATTTTGAATATCTGAGGACATTCTGGGAAGGCTTGTATTTTCTATTCCTTTTTAAAGCAATCAGATGAGTATCATTATCAAGAACCTTTTGCTTTTAAAACTCCCTTTTCCTCTTTTTTGCAATAAGCAGCTTTGTTCCTGCTTTCCCATCGTGGGAACGTTCATCTTCTGCTGGCCCATCTCACAGTATCTGTCCTCCCCCTACTGTGTGAATGAGGAGTAACTTGCATGGTCTTGGTTTAAATATTGCTCCTGAGCCTTCTCACACCAGTTTGATTAGAAAAGTATAAAACCTTATTTCAGTTATTCTGCAAGAATAAACAATGTTGCTCGCTATATCTCTTCCTGGCTCTTCTTCCAGTTATCAGAGACCATGGCTGGAAACGCTTCCTGACCCCATGACAGACAGTACTGTTCAATAGCGCAGTCAGTAATCTGAGCTGGTGCAACAGAGTCTTAGGTACACAGTGGAATGTGTGCAATGATAGTCTACTTGAATGGACATTGATTACAAATATAGGGTGGAAGCATTTTTAGAACCAGAAGGGAGTTGAACTGTGCTATACACACAGAGACCACTAGGTTGTTTTGATTAGAGCTTCTAAAACATTCCAGATGCTGATAGCAGACTACATTGTAGTGGAGTGTGTGGGAATTGCTTTCTGGCCCAATGAGGGCTCACTCAAGACTATTTGTTGCCTGAGATAAAGAAGATCGTATCCCCACCCACCCCCCTTTCATGTACAAAGGTTAATCACTGTGGCAGGGGGATCACTGTCCACCTCTGGTGGTGGGAGAGCATGTTTCTACCAGAAGAGCACTCAAAGAAGACACAAGCATCTGTCTTATTAACACAGACATTTTATTGTTGTTTAAACCTGCAATACATAAACAATAAGTTAAATAAAGTAAAAACATTAAATAACAAGAGGGTGCCAGCCCCCCCCCAAATTATCTGTTCATTGAATAAAAGAACATTTTAAAAAGCTAGTACTATATGAGTCACAGAAAACAAGTAGATTACCAAACTACATATTAAACATGTTCTTCATTCTAAGCGACTACCCATGTCTGTCAAATTCCATCTTGTTCAGGTTATATTCAAACTCAGGAAGGGATGGTAGAAAAAGGAAGCGAGGACATTTAGGGAAGCATCCCTGAGAACACAAGGATCTGACCTTAACACTGTAGATGTATCTGCATTACCAGCTTGTTTCAGTTTGCTACCCATCTCTCATGGTTCCACCAAAGACTTCTGAGCATCCCATTGAATTCCCAGCATTCCATCTCGAGTCCCATCCTGCAGGTCTGTTTCACTCTCTAGGTCAGCTATGCTAATGTTTTATCTTGTGCCTTAGGCTACTGAGTATTGGTGGAATTGACATGTAATAAAAAGTAGCCACTTTACTGCTAAACAGTTACAGTCAGATCTGTCCTTAAGGAAGGAACTAAGGGTGCACAGAGATTTCTAGAGGTCCAAGATGGAGGTAGGTCCTGAGAGGATGCTGAAGTACAAGAATGACTTAACCATGTTGAATACAGCACTCTTATCTCATGAATCTATGGCAGGGAAATTTAAACTCTGAACATCACAATTTCAAAAAGTTTTTCTAATTTTTTCCCCCTAAGACTTTTAAACAAAATGTCTAATGCATTTTCTGACCTTTTAAAACAAAATACTAGAAATAGTTTGAGTCAGATTCAAAAAATTTATCAAGCACAGCTCCAGTTAATTTCAACTGAAGCACTTTCTTATGGACTATGTTCCTGCCCCAAAGTTTTTTTCTTCTTGAGACATTCTGCTTCCCGACTTACTGAGCAGAATGTCCCATTCAGACTGGAGAGATCTAGCCATAGTTCTCTGTGGACCTAAAAACATTCTAATATTTTAGAGACGAGCCAGCTTGCTTAGAGAAATAATGGAGACTGTAATGTTGGAGTTATAATAACGTCCTCAGTAGCATGCAGATATTCCCGACATTCTTTACAAAATTGCCATTATCTCAAATTGTATGGCACAAAAACTTG